TCCTGACACTTCATGCTCCTCTGCCTAGCTATGGTTCAGCCATACTGGCCTCCTTACCAACGGTAGGTTCCACCTCCCACCTCCAGGACTTTGCACCGACCATCCCCCATACCTGGAAACTCTCTTTCCTCACCTCAGCCTCTAGAATCCCTGGCTTCCTTCAAGACTCAGCTCCAAAGCTACCTTCTGCAGGAGGCCTCTCCTAGTCTCCCCTCCCAGGTTATCTTCATTTTTCTCTCTATTTATATTTTATGTGTCTATTCCTATACTGGGGGTGGGGGAGTGGGGGGAGGGTCTTCCTCAAGAGAATGGAAACTCCTCGAAGAGAAAGGTTGTTTTTGCTTTGTCTTTGTGCACCTGAGCTTAACACAGATATTGCCTCAAATAAACAAAGAGCTGAATAAATGCTTGTTGATTGATTGATGGATGGACCAGAAAAAGAAGTGGGCTGCTCCCATAGGAAGACTTAGGGATAACAAATGAACTGTCTGTGTGCTCCATTGGTACCCATGGACATGCCCACAAGACACATAAAGTCTCCACCACCTCCCCGTATACCCCCTCTGCCTATGGAAGATTTAAGGAAGGTTCAGGACAAGGGTCATACACAGCATGAGCAAGCATGGATATTATAGTTTTATCAAAGTAAAAAAAATCAAGAGATCAAGTGACATGAATTTATGAAGTGCCTACTTTGTGCCAGGCACTGAAGACACAAAGACAAGACAGAAACAATCGTCCCTGCCCTCGATGAGCTTACACTCGACTGAGGGAAACGACATGCTGGGGCACGTGGAAAACACATACAAGAGAAGTATAAGGTGATTTGGGAGAAGAAGGCCCCTAGACCGGTAGCTTGCCCCACTGGCTTCCATCCATCTAGATTATACATCCTGCCGTATCTGGAAGGAATATCTCGGGGGGAAAAGAGAAGATACAGAAGCTTTACATAAAGATGTCCCAAACAAGACACAAATTGCCTGTCACAGGCTGCCTCTTATCATCATCTGCTGACCAGATGGTGTTTAGTAAACTCGAATTCTTCTATTTATCTTACCAGACATTTCTATGAAGTTGAGTGAAGGGTCCCCATGGGAAAAAAAACTCTGCTCCAAGGCTCTGGAGTCCATACAGACCTTTTAAAATGCCTCAAGCTAAAGAGGGCCCCAAAGCCCTTCATGCTAGCTCTGCTGGGAAGTCCAGACAGTTTGGGATAACCTATGCCCTCAAGGCCTGCAACCTCTCTCACAAGAGCCAACGGCCCCAACAGCTGTTGCCCACAGCTGGATAAACCATAAGCCACGAGGGTCACAGCTGGTCCACATCCCTGACACCTAGCCAGTCAGATAATATCACTATTTCCTTATTCCCTAAACTCTAGCCCTCCACTGAAATCCAGAAAAATCTGGGCAGGAAAACCACTTCTCATGCCCCAAATATGTGGCATCATAAGCAGTGGTTAATGTGGATATCGATTCTCAAGCTACGCATGTTTTTCTAGGCTGTGCTTCTCTCGTGGATTCCACAGAGCATCTCATTGTGGACGCATGATCTCCAGCAACGCACAGGGAAAAGGCAATGCATTTTGCGAATTTTAATCCTGCCTCTAACTCCCTATGGGACCTCACACAGAGACCTTCTCCTCTTTGGACCCTGTTTCCTCATCTACAGAATGAGGGGCTGGACAAATGGCCTCTGCGGTCCTTTGAAGCACCAACTCCACGCTGTTCTGGTCCTCGGTGCTAATAGCACAGCACATATCTGAGCACACATGTCACCCTTGTCTCCTGAAGCCGACATCATGGTGGGGTCCATGATATTGTGATGAGGCTGGTTGCTTTGTTTTTCAGAGAGAGAGAGATCAAGAAGATATAATTTGAAAGAAATATTCATGAAAATACAGTGGTTCAAGCTTGCCTTTTTCAGCATGGATCGCATTGTGGGTTTGTGTGTTTTCTTAAATAAATCCTTATTTTTCTTTGTTTTGGTCAATTTAGAAAGTTTCATGATGAATTTAGGGATTTGATTCAATAAAAATCACCAAGTCCCTGACAAGCATGAGGCATTGTACAGGTGCTGAGAATGCAAAGGCAAAAATGGAACGTCCCTGCCCTCAAGCCGCCTACATTCCACTGGGAGAAAGCAAAACGACGGCCACGAAGACATGAAAATACAAAATACACATAGCTACAAAGTCACTTTGGCAGGAGGATTCTAACAGGTGGGAGAATAGCCAAAGACTTCACATAGAAAGGTGGCATTTGTTCTGACCTGTGAAGGAAGCTAGGGATTCTAATCATCAGAAATGAGGAGGGAGAATATTCCCCACAGGGCAGCAGTCCGTGCAAAGGCACAGAGATGAAAGGTGGATGGTTATGTGAGAGCACAGTAAATGGGCCGGTTTGGATGGAATGCAGAGTCCAGGGGGCTAGGAGGCACCAGTATTGTGCAACAAACCGGGAAGGACAGCTGGGGACAGACTGTGAAGCTCTCTGAACTCCAAACAAAGGATTCTGTATTTGATCCTGGAGGGAGTAGGGAGCCATAGCAGTTTTGTTGAATGGGAGTGATAAAGTCGGTCCTGTGCTTTACGAAGGTCACTTTGATGGCTGAGTGGAGAGAGACTTGGAGCAAGCAGACCCATCAGCAGCTGCTGCAGTCGTCCAAGCGTGCAGGGACAGGGGTCTGCACCAGAGTGGGGGCAGTGCCAGAGGACAGAAGGGGACATATTTGAGAAATGCTGCAAAGGTAACACTAACATGACGTAGCAGCGTAAGAGAAAGTGTGGGGTGGAGAACAACACCAAAACCTGAGAGACATCAACAGTAACTGGGAAGGCAGGAGGATGGGAGAGTTCGGTGGGAAAGATAACGAATCTGTTTTGGACAGACTGAGTTTCAAATGCCCAGGAGACATCCAGTTGGGGATGTCTAACAGGCAGTAGGAGATACAAGACCAGAGGTCAGCAGAGGGGTTAGGGCTAGTTAAGCGGATCTGAGAACCATCAACATGGAGATAATTTAATCTATGGAAGCTGATGAGATCATCAAATAGACCTCTACAGAGGGAAAAGAGAGCCCGGGACAGAGCCCTAGGAGACAACCGTGGTTAACAGGCATCACCTAGAAAAAGATCCAGCAAAAGAGAGGGAAGGAGGAGCAGTTAGACAGGAAGGAGGAGTACCAGGAGAAAACTTAGAGAAGACAGAGGGTGATCGACAGTGTCAACAGCTTCAGAGGTCAAGAGGGATGAGGATTGTGAAAAAACCACTGACTCAGTGATTAAGAGACCCTTGGTAACCTTGGAGAGAGCAGGTTCAACTGAAGGGTGATCTTGGCAGCCAGGTTGTGGAGAGAAGAAAAGAGTGAGAGGAAAGGAAGGTATAGACTGTAGACAGCCTTCTCAAGGAGTTTAAACACAAGAAGTAGGGAGGGGGAGAGACAGAGAGACAGAGAGACAGATAGAGAGACAGAGAGACAGAGAGGAGAGATGATGGCCACTGGGGCAGGGGGAAGGAAAAAGGGACTCTGTGGTTGCAGACGGGGTGCCAGGAAGAACCTAGACAAAAAGAGGGAAATTAGGAGGAGGTGTAGGTTTGGGGGAAAGATACCCAGTTCTATTTGGGCCAGGCTGAGTTGGCGATGTCTCCAGGTCCTCCAGCCGATGGAGGCCCATTGAGCTGCGTCCTCACAGATTCTGGACTTCCCCATTTATAAATTATTTGTACTCTCCCCTTCCTGAAGTCACTTCCTATTTATTAATCATCCTACAGATTCTCCTCGTGCAGAATGTAAGTTCACTGAAGGCAGGGACTGTTTCACTTTTCTCTTCGTATAAGTATGATAGAGTACTTAGAATGCTGGTCTTGGAGTCACAAAGACTGTGGTCCAAACTCCACCTCAGACTCTTACAGAGCCAGACACCAACTCAGCTCCCCGTCTGTAAAATGAGGTGGCTGAACTTTGTAACCTCCAACGTCCCTTCCACTTCAGGACCTATGATTCCCCAGGCCGAGCACTGTAAAAAATGCCCACTGAATGCGCCTTCACAGACACTGTCTCATTAGGTCCTCACAACAGTCACACGAGGTAGGCAGGGCAACTACTATTATCCCTATTTTATAGATGAAAACACTGAGACTAAAGAGGAAAAGTGCCACCCAAAGTCACACAGTCAGGAGATAATGGAAGCAGGCCTAGAATGCAGATATTCCAATGGTGAGGCCCTTGCTTTTCCAGGGCCCACACTTGCTAATCTTCTGGCAAAGGGTTTCCTAGTACATAAGCTTGCAATGACCGATACCTTCAACAGTCCTGAGCTCTCACTTGAGCCTCATGTCCGCAGCATCTGCTCATTCCAAGACTAACGTGGGTGTTTTCCCATCTACCACTACAGCCTCCAGGCATCCAACCACAGGCTGGGCCCCTCACTCCCAGGCTTAATGGCAAAGTCCATTTAATAAACAATTACAAGAGGAGAAAAACATTTTAAGGCTCATATAGAGAGGGTGGGAAGGCCAAAAAATGTACTTTTAAAATAAACAGAAAGTAATTGAGGAGGATAAAAAATACAGTCTCCACCAAATGTAACTATTTTGGAGTTTAGGACTCAATATGGGAAAGCAGAGATACCTAGCAAAGCAACAGGTGTAAGCTGAACCAGCATCCTTGTGGCCAGGCAACTTGACAGCCTCTGCCTGGGTCTCTTCTCCAAGAGGATCCTTGGAGGGGAAAGGATGGGAGGGAGGGCAAGACCCTTCCCAGATATCTGGCTGCCTGCTTCTCAAAGAATCAAGGAGAGAGAACATTTCAGAGAACGGTCAAACATGATGTTGAGATTCTAAGTTGTGTCCTCCCCAAAGGACTTCTGCAACAAGTCAAAAGAGTGAACGAATTGGCCACGACTCTGGATGAATGTCCCTGGTAATTTCATGCTATCTGCAGAGGGAAAGAGAAGCCCCCGCTGACTGTCAGGATGCAAGAAGGATGTCTCGGACTGACCTTCACATGGGCTTGGTAGTGTTCACATTTCTCCTCCATGTAGGAAAGCTGCATCTTCTCAGAGACCTGCCCCATCGTTTCTCCAAGAGACATGAAGTACACCCGAGGCTGTTGACCCTTCTCCTTTTTGGTCACATCTGCCGTCAAGACATAATTCAAGCCTGTTGATAGACAGAAAAAGGATAAATATAATGCAGTCTTCTCCCGACCCAGTGGGGAAAGACCAGATGCAGTGAATCTTTGACTGGTGTCATGTACAGAGGAAAACTCGAGATGCCTTCAATCAGGACAATGTTATGATCCACCTGGAACGAGAAATTCCTAACTGAGAATGGGATAGTCAGATGGAAATTAAAATCAGACATTTCTAGGGGACACGAATCTAAGTGAAGATGACCGTTTCTTCTGAGTCTTCACTCTAAATTCCATACTTATCCTCCATTTGTGATGAAACCAGATCAATTACAGGATCATAGGACCAAATGTACTTAGGATCATAGGCTTAGAATTAGATGGGAACTTAGAAGTTCTCTAGTCCAATCTCTTCATTTTACATACGGGGAAATGAAGCTCAGAGAAGCTGACCATGGTCACAGAGATAGAACATGTCAGAGGAAGTAGTCAAACCCAAGTCTTCTGATTTCCATTTCAGATCTATTTCCACTGACCATGTTGCCTCAACTGCTCTGGTAATACATATTCTCACGACCAATATCATTATCATATTACCACCCACACGTCAACTTCCTCTCTCTGAAAGGATACCACAAGACAACTAGACGTGAGTCATGTATCACTAGCCTTCACAGATGGGACCTGATTAGAAATGTTCAGACTGTCTTGCCTTTGACCTATGCCCTATATGCTGATTCGTGACCACCACCATAAAGAAGCATCATTGAACACTGTGAGGTTGGACCCAAGGCTGAGAAAACTTCAGTGACTTGGGAAAATCCAAGAGAAATATAAAACTCATTATTATTTCCCTCAATAATTCCCTTTTCCAAACTTCCCCATTTTGGTTGAGGATACTGCCACCATCCCCCCAGTCAGCCAGGTTCCAAAGCTCAAAGTCATCCTTGAGTCTTCCCTGCCCTCCTCTCCATATTCTACCAGGTGAGATGTCTTGTTGATTCCACAACATCCCCCCTGGGCCCCATTCTTTCCATTCACCCATCATCATTTCTCACCTGAACTACTTCACTTCCTCAAAATTGTCCTCCCTGCTCCAGTCTCTCCCCAACATGGCTGCCAAATTTATTTTCCCAAAAGGCTCAAATCTGCTCAAGAAGCTTCTACAGCTCCCTATTGAGTCTAGGACAAAATGGCAACTCCTCAGTTGGGTACTGAAAGCCCTCCACACCTTGGTCTGGCTCCCATCTACCTCTCCAGCCTTCTGTCACATTACATCTCCTTTAAACTCGAGTCATTCTAATCAAATTAGATTCTCAGGTGTTCTCTGCATAGGACCTTCCACCTACCATCTTGGTGCCTACGCACTGGGGGCCTTCCACGTCTAGAGTGCCCACTTAGCATCCCACGCATAGCACAGGTAGGATTTCTTGTTGTTTGGTCATTTCAGTCGTGTCTGACTCTTCCTGACACCATTTGGAGTTTTCTTGGTAAAGAGACTGGAGTCGTTTGAGGGAAGAAGGGATTTGAACCCAAATCGTCTGTCTCTAAATCAAGCATTCTTTCCACTGCCCCCAGCTGCCTCTTAAGTCCTAACACCTTATACTGACCCATACAAGATGTGCCATTACTTAAATCGACATTTCAATTACATTCAGGGAGTGTCTAACTTATATTTTCAAAATTTCATTTCTGTCTTTGTAGCCCTAGTGCTTTGCAGACAATAGGTACTTAATAAATGCTCATTAAGCATAGGAACACAAGAGAGAAATCAACAGAGGAAGGAAAACAATAAGAGAAATGACTTCAACAACATTATTGGAAAGAGAGAATAAAACAATCCTATCCTAGCTCTGAGAAATTCAACCAAGCTTGGCCCCAGTGAAGAGATATGGGAAGGCACCTCCCCCTGCTTCTTTGCAGAGTGAGAGCCTGTGGGTGTGGAACATTGCATATAAAACGCCAGACTTTTTTGATTTGCTGGTTGGTTTTGCTGAGCTTTTTTTTTTCCTTTTTTTATTCTTTGCAATAAGGAACTGCTTCTTGGTGGGGGGGAGGAGGAAGGAAGGGTACAGTGGGAAATGTAGATGATGTAAAAGCAATGTAATTTTACTTCTTAAAAAATGCTTTCTGAATTGAAGTAAAAAGAAGTCAAAGTTTGTTGACCTGTAATAACACAGAAAGGGCGACTGTCCTCCCAGGCCCTCCAATGCCATCCCAATCACCCCAAAAAGCTATTTCTACCCACAAAATCACATTGACTTCATGAAGCAGCTATGGAGCACCCTGGTGACTACTTCCAAAGCAGACCCCTTCCCTCCCTTCCATTCTTTCCATCTTTCTATCTTCCAGTCTCTGCTAGCTAGGCTTCTGGCTGAGCCCCAGGAAGGGGAGACTCTGGGTCCCCCAGATAACACACACAGCAGACACTCTGCGATCCTGTCACTGATGCTGACGATACTTTAGCACAAAGCCCCCACCAAAGCTGCAGCTCTTTTAAAGGGCAATGAGTGAGGTGAGATTGATGTTCCACTGTCATGAGAGGCAGGCCCCCTGCCAATTCCTGAACTCAGGAATTCCCATCAGTAATGTGGCACAACATGCTTATAAAATTAAAACCAAATCAAGCTCCTCCTCCAAGGACAAATGTCCTTAGGGTCACATACTTAGAACTGGAAGGGCTCATCTTACAGCTGGGGAAACAAAGGCCACACATGGAACATGACTTGCCCAAGGTCATACAGAGATAAAAGGTAGATTCCAGGTCCCCAGACGCCATATACCATGCTCTCTCCATTGCTCCATCCTGCCTCATGACTGTACCTTTCACTTCCACTCTTACAGAAGATGCTAATAAAGAAAACATGACTTGTTCTGTAATGTAAAGGACACTTGAGTGACGAGAGAGCTGCCATGTTGTGCCTTAGACCCCACACACGCTATGGAGAAAGACTCTGCCAGTCGCCTCTTGGCATTCCGGGGGGATGGGTTGGATTAGACAGCCATTATCACACCCAGACTGGTCATCCAGCCGTTGCCTAAAGACTGCCAACAAGGAGCAGCTCCCAAGGAAGCCTCTGCTCTGGGCCAGCCTCAGTCTCCAGGAAGGATTTCCCTTATCTTAAGCCTCAACTGGCCTCTTAAAACTGCCCCCTATTGTTCCCAGTGCTTCCTGACTGGAAAACAGAACTGATCCAACCCTCTTCTAGGTGACAACCTTCCAGATACTTGAGTCTCCTCTTCTCCAGGCTAAACGCTACTGGTTCTTTCAAGTGTCCTCATGTGGCATGGACTCCAGGCCCTTCAACAATCCTGGCTGCCATCCCCTGGACACCATCCACTTCACCAATGTATTTCCTAAACTCCGGTTCCCAGACCCGCACATGGCGCCCCCCAAAGTGATCTGACCAGGGCAGAGGACAAAGGTTTTCTTTGCCTTCTTCCTCCAAGAAGCACAATCTAGTAACGTGATCTATGAGCACACGGGCTCTTCTGGCTGTCATATCACAGGCAGCTTGAAGGCCACTCCTTTTTCAGTAAAACTGCCAACCACGCCTCCCTCATCTTGGACTTGGGAAGCTGATTTTTTAGACCCAACTGCAATACTTTACATTTTGTTGTTGCTGAGTCATGTCCGACTCTTCGTGACCCCATTTGGGGCTCTTCTCAGCAGAGATACTAGGGCGGTTTACCATTTTTTTCTCCAACTTATTTTACAGTTGAGGACACTGAGGTAAACAGGGTGATGTGACTCGCCCAAGGTCACACATCTAGTAAGTGTCTGAGGCCAGATTTGAACTGTTAGATGAGTCTTCCTGAATCCAGGGCCAGTACTCTATCCACTGCACTACCTAGCTGCCTCACTACCATTACTACTACTAGTACTACTAGTACTACTACTACTACTACCACCACTACTACCATTATTATTAATATGCTTTTCTAACATAAGATGAACAGACTGGGCCCAACCAAACATGAAGATTATCTCACTCACTAAAAATTCCTGGGTGAGAAGGAACACAAGGTCATAAATCCGGGCCATGTTTTGCAGGGCCATGCCCTCACTAGGGCAGACCACACACACACACACACACACACACACACACACACACACACACACCCCCAACCAGCCTCTCGCTAGAGTTTTCATTAATGCTAAGAGAACCAATTCCATCAGCGGACATTGAAGAATAAGAAGCCCAGGTGACTGCCCTGGCTTTTAATAACATCAAAGCAATCGATCCAGGGGAGGGAGGGACTGGAAGGGACCTCGGTGGTTGCCCCAGGGAACATTTCCTCTCTGGCTAATGGATTTCCTGGGCCCCTGCCCCTCTGGGATTCTGGTCGTTCACCACAGACGTTGGCAGACACCCAGACGAGAGCCGCCTCTGTGCACTGACCTCAAGGAACCCCAGAGCTTCAGGAGGGGGGGTCCCCAGAGAGCTGAGCAATTGTGCTAACGCTGTAATGAAGGACTAAGAGGAGTGTATCCCCGGGGGGTCTTCCATCACAAACGTAACACTAACCCAGTGACCTATGAATGAGCAAGGCCCACTGGTCTCAGATTCAGGCCCACATACATCTGTCTGTATGAGAGCGCATCTGTAAAGAGCTTTGCGAACCTTAAATCACTATTGAAACGTCAGCTCCAGACCCACCAATAAGCACGGCACAGGCAAGAACAAGACCGGGGGGATTTTTCCTGTGTCTGCTCATGACAAACTTACACAGACGGACGGTGCCCAGAAGACAGCAAAAAAGCGACTTCTGAGGCCCCACGATGGGTCGTTTGGGGGGTTTCTGTGTTGGTTTTTTGTGTCCGATCTATTTTTTGTTCCACATATGATTTCCTTCAGGGAGGAAACTAATGACAAAGGATACAAAGAAAGATCTCAAAGTTCCCCTGCCGAGGTCCCAAGGATGGCTACGGAGCTTTCAGTCGAGGAGAGCTGGGTTAGAATCCCGTTTCATATATTGCATGACCTTGGGTAAATCATTTAATCTGAGACTCAGTTTACTCATCTGT